ATGACCATAAAAACACGCAGCATGTCATGCTGTACTACCATTTGATTTAATGCTGTTAACATCATTGATTTCTATAATGCTAAGTAAACTTTGAACTGGAGTGTAGGTGGAGTTTGGTTGTGTCTTCTTTTCGTGCAAACCCACACCCTCAAGCTAGATCATTTACTTTTAAAGTCAAAGCGAACATTAACGAAAAGAAATATCTTTCAAATTTAGATCAATATTTAATATATCAAATGATTCACAAAAAAAACAAAGGTTCAGTTTTATTGTTATAAATATACTAAAAATTGATTTTGTCTACAAACACCTGATTTGAAAAATTGTCTCAATTTCTCATAAATCCAAAAGTAACTTTTCTAATGATTTTCATTTTCTTTTAGATATTCTTTCTCATTGAATTATTCCGGATAGAAGATAAAATACAATTGACAGCAAATTATTTGTTTCAAAAAATTGTCACAGCTTAATTGATTAAATATTCATTTTACAAAATTCTTTAATAGTATTTCTGAAATAATTAACCAAAGGCCATAGATATTACCAGAAATATAGCTTTTTCTTTCTGAATTCTGTTTAAAATGTTCTCTTGTTATTTTTTTAGTTCATTTTATCATAGAACTTTATGTGTTCAAGAATGGCATAAAAACTTTATTACATGTCATCGAGCAGATGGGAAATTAAGTGAAAAAGATATTATTGATGCTGCTATTAAAGGAATAGAAGAGGAAGGTTTGAAGAACGTAGAATTCAGTAAAGAATCAAAAACCATATGTGATGAATTGCACAAAGTACGAAACTGTGAAAATAAAGTGGAAATAAAACAATGTGCTGTAAGATTGTACACACATAATGGTTTGCTATGCAAACTGGTCAATCAAGCTCTTCGAAAGAATGATAAGAGAATCTATCGAGATACACTTGGACCTTATTGTTATTTACTCTATTCTTATCTTTGTCTACGTTCGCCTTTTGGTATTGATTTTCATCGAGGAACTGTATATCGTGGTGCTTGGTTACATCCAGGT